CAAACTCTCTAAAATGAGTGCATTATCATTCAGTTGCAACAATTCAATTTTTGTTTCTATGTTTGATCTAGTGCATACTGATGTATGAGGACCAGCTCCACTTGCATCAGAGAGGGGTTCACGATACTACATCATTTTTATTGATGATCACACCATATATACTTGAGTTTTCTTTAATGATACTACAATGAACTATATGATATCATTATTGGGTTTTTTTCAAACATTGAAACTCAATTTTCTACCAAAATTAAAATTTTACAATCAGTTTCGGGTGGGAAGTATTTTAGTGGGATGTTTCAAAAGTTTCTTTCTGACAAAAATATTCAACACAAAAAATCTTGCCAATATACTCGTTAGTAAAATGGTATTGCTGAAGGTAAAAATCACCATATCTTAGAAACTGCACGAGCTCTTCTCGTCTCAGTCTCGGTTCTGAAGGTTTTATCGACAGGAGTTGTTCTCACCATTGTTATCTAATTAGTATTATGCATTCTGCTACATTGTTTAGATGTTCCCCTTTTGAATGACTGTTTGCTCAACCCCATATTATTCTATTCTTTATGTTTTTTTGCTACATTTACTTTGTTCTGTTGCTAACATCTAAACGGGATAAATTGTCAAACAAAATAGTTAAATGTTGTTTCTTGGGTTATCCTGACCATCAAAAGAGATATAGATGTTATAACCCCTGACTAAGAAACTTTTGGTATCTCGACATGTATTTTCTGAATATATCTCTTTTCATTCCCCTCCACCTATTGTTGACGCCTCTTCCATTTCTTTTCTGGTCCCTTTCTTTGATGATGTTTCTGAAGTGTCTATAACCTAGTCCATAGCTCCTACAGATGGTCCGACTGTAGAACATTCGACTGCTGCTGATGAATTACTTCATGCACTTGCACATGTTGCTCTTGTACAAACGCATTTTGTCTGCCATAGTAATTGTATATTTGTCTTACCTGCTTGTTTTGCTAATTGTGAAACCTTTTTACCAAAGTATCAAATATTTCTTGCTTTAGTTCATTTTTACTTTGAGTCGTAGATTTATGAGGAAGTTGCCACACAACAAGAGTGACAACATGCCATGATACTGCCCTTGACAGAATGCATGCTTGGGATCTTGTCCTTCTTCTTGAAGATAAAAGTGCCATTGACTACCGGTGGATGTACAAAATCAAAACTATAACTGATAGCAATATCGAGTGCTATAATGCATGACTTGTAGCTAAAGGTTATAGTCAACAATTCGATATTGATTTTGCTGAAACCTTTGGTCATGTTGCCCACATGACTATAGTTTGCAGTCTGATTTTTTTGGTTGATGTTCGCCAATGGACGCTATATCAACTCGATATCAAAAATATATTTCTTAATGGAAATCTTGCAAAAGAAGTTTATATGAATTTACCTTTTGGGGTTTCTGATCCCGACAATAAAGTATCTGTTGACTACGACATGCGCTTTATGGACTTAAACGAACCTATCGTACTTGGTTTGAAAATTTTAATTGTATTGTTGTTTCTATAGGTTTTCAACATAGCTATCATGACCCTGCCATGTTTGGTCTCAATCATTTTTAGAGGACGTGCAATTCTCATACTCTATGTTGATAATATGATTATATCTGGTGATGATGAGGCTGCCATTCATCTCATCAAGCAGCAACTTTTTTAGCTTTTCGAGATGAAAGATTTTGGATTCTTAAAATATTTTTTGGGCCTAGATGTTACTTTTTACCCCCATGGGTAATTTGCTTTATCAACTTAACTATGCCTTAGCCATTGTTTATCGAGCTCGTCTGGTTGATGGTACAAAGCATGTTGACATACCTACTGAGTTGAATGTCAAACTTCATTCTATAGATAGTGAGCTTCTTCCTAATCGTACATTTTATAGACAATTTGTTGGAAGCTTGATTTATCTAACTATCTCTCAAACAACCATTGCTTATTTTGTTCATCTTGTAAGATAATTTTTGAGTGTCCCTCAATCTATAAACTTGGCAGTAGTTTTATGTATTATTTGCTATATTCGAGACACACTTGATCAGGCTTTGTTATTCTTTTCATCTTCCACTCTTGTGCTTCATGCTTATACGGATTTCGATTTTGTGGGGGCCACTACCAATCAGAAGTCTACTATATGTTTTTGTATTTTTCTTAGTGACTCCCTTATTTATTTGAAGAGCAAGAAGCAAAGCGTATTGCTCAGCCTACAGTTGGAGCTAATAACTAAAAAACAATGGAGATTGTCTCATTTTGTTGGTTATTAGCTGACTTGGGTATGAAACCTTCTGCTTATACTTCCTTATAATGTAATAACAAAAGTACTACTTATATTGCTAAGAATCCAGAATTTCATGTCGCACCAGGCATATTGAAGTAAATTATCATTTTGTTGGATATTAATATTTAATCGGGACAATCTCTCTGTTATATATCTCATCTTCCACACAATTCACTGACTTCTTTACGAAGTCCCATAGTGCTCCTCATTTTTTAAGGCTTGTTTCCAAACTCTTAATAGTTTGCTTCTGACCATCACAATTTTGAGTGGAGTGTGAAATTGTATATTTTTTTTTGTTACCTTTATAGATAGAATAATATTTCTTGATCAGGTGGGCTATAGTAGGATATTTTTTCTTACCTTTTTGTATATCATTACTAGTTGTATCATTTTTTCTCTCACAAGTTGAATATAGAAAACGAGAGATTTCTCGCATATTGATGGTGCCCCATTGGATAATCTAGGAAGAGCAGGCATCGGGGAGTGACTGCCAGCTTTTAATGGACTCTTTGACAAGTAGGAAGTGTCCTCTCTAACAATTTCACACCATTATCCATAATCATCTATAGAAAGTTTGTGAGTATAAATGGTCAGTTAATCATATGAATGTGGCGCAAAAGAAGCACCTAACATAAGCAAATGGCGAGTATCATTTTATTACAGTTATGTGTATGTCTATTCCCGTGAGCTAATTTATTCTATGACAAATTAGATGACCCACACACATCTCAATGAATAAACTCATGAAACAATTATAAAAAAACCCTATACAATTTTTATTTTATTTTATTTTATTTATTTTATGGTGAGAAATAGTATGGTGAATATAAGTTGTTCATTTCAAAAATGGAAAAACGGTGTTAGATTAAGGCCTTTGTGGGATTGCTTTAACACTAAAATTTGTAGATATCTTCATTATCAAGAGATGAAAATTTTTAAAGTAAAAAAATTTTGATTTTTAATTCTTAAAGGATTGGATCTAAAATAAATGGCAAGCATTCACTAAATTTATCTCTCCTAAAAAGATTTTTTTTTTTTTGGGTAGATCAGTGGAGAATATAGGCCCCTACCAGTTTTTTATAAATAATTAGTGGATTTTGAATGCGTCAATGGGAATGAAAACCTAGACCGGTAGCTGAGGACCTCAACCCCATTTCCAAAAAAGAAACTGGTAAGTGAGTGGGAGATTTGGGCTCCTACGCTTTGATGATAATGGAGTAAGAGACCTCATCATGAGACTCCTTACTTGTTCCAACCCTTTCGCACTATGTATCATTAGATAATCTAAAAAATATCTCTTGCGTGCGGTACCAATTGGATTTTCAATGGAGGAATTACGAATATATTTAGAAATAAATAGACCCTATCAACAACGCTTCCTATATCGCTTCTATTCCAGGAGTCTATCTATGCACTTGCTCATAATCATGGTTTAAATGGATCAATTCTTTACGAACCCATGGAAGATTTAGGTCATGACAAGAAATCCAGTTCACTAAATGTAAAACGTTATTCTAGTCCAATCAATCATTTTTTCAAATAATCTATTAGACTCAGGAGTGAATGATTTGATCAGTGAATATTTCTTCCTTCAACTTGGGATCGATTCACAAGAATTTTGAAATGTGTAATATAAAGGATCTCGGTCGTAGAGATCAGTAAATGAAAAACTACTGATTTTATCCTTGTAAGATCGTCTATATGGTACCGAAGGTGTATTTAGAGTATACCGAATCAGTATAGCTATCGTTCCTTTGATACAACAATGCAATTTCGATCAAAAAAGAAATGGTACATGGCACTACTACCACCAAGGCTCCATGCCATTTTCAAAATTAGTAAGTCAGGGAGATTTGGGCCCTTACCTTTTGGTTTGAATGGAGACAAAAACCTCATCATGGAGCTCGGCAATACTACCACCAAGGCCCCAGGCTATTTTCAATTTAAATGGGGTGCGATCCTAAAAAGACTTATTTAGCTTATAAATCTAGTTTAAGAGAGTGCTTGCCCAAAATATAATGTCAAACAAATTTGCCTATATAATTTTGTTTGGAACTTTCTTGGGATGCGAGCTAATAAACAAACTAGCTCACAGTAATATGCATGCATCAACGTATTAATTCACTCGTCAACAACTCCTAGAAAAACTATTTTTACTCTATATGTAATGAAAGAGAACCAACAAAAGCCTACATCATCATCAAAGTCTTTGTCTGGATCCGCTACACGAATCCTGATCCACCATTCTACTCTATTGATGACCGTACCCTCAGTTAGGCAATGAGCCGCTGTATCTTTTTTTGCTACTTCCAACTATATCCGGTTGGACATTTGCTGTGGTAATTTAAATAACATTATAAAAATTTATGAAAACATATCTAATTCTTTTAACAATTTGCCAATTTATTCTATTTCAACTATTGTATGTGTATTTGGATGTGAATTTTGAAATTAAACTAATAATACAGGTAAACTATTAAATAATTTATCTGTGTATTTCAATAACTATTTCTAGAAAAAGAAAAACCCTTAAGTACTTAAATAAGGTAAGTTGTGCATAGCCAAAATAGTTATATATATTCAAAATTTAAAAGGATATGCATATGTAAGTCTAAAATAGAAATATACACCTTGTAATAGAAACCATTAGATTCCATTTAAAAGCAATGGTGGATGAATTAAGGAGAAATAAAAAAAAAGAGTGTAGGGTTTGAAGCCCTATTCTTCTCCCTATAGGGAATGAAAGGGAATTGAGAAGGTGCATTGCACGAGGTGGAGGGAGGGGTGAGGAGGAGGAGGTTGGAGTAAGAGGAGAGCGAGAGGAAGAGGAGAGAGAAACCATTTAATGCTGCCACCTGATTTAAACCCCCTTCTCTCTTCTTAGGTTACGATTCTCTTCTCTCTATCTCTGTATCGATCCCGGTTACATTCTCTCTCTATATCTATTAGCCATAATTTCCTCTCCATATTAGGTTAAAACCCTCACATTCTCTCTCTAGTTGGCTTCTTTGTCCTTGCAGTGCTCTCTCTCAATGTCGGCTGCCATGGCTTCTCTCTAGGGTATCCTTTATATATTATTTTTTATCTATCTGTATATCTGTGCTTCTCTCCTGTGTCGTGGGAATCTCTATGGCGGCGACAATGGGGTCGGCTTCTGCTGAGCCGACAGGGATGGGGGATCAGCACTTCAGGAGAGGGAGAGGCCTTGCAAACGCATGGTCTCATGTAGTTAGAGGAACGGTCCCGAATTCCGGTGATCATGAGAGCGAAGTTGTGGATGAGTTGAGGCCTGTGGCGGATAACTCTTCTCCGGTGAAGGGAGAGCCTTCGAGCCCTAATGTGGCCTCGGAGTCATCCGAGGCGTCGAAGAAACCTGCATGGAATAAGCCGCAATCCAATGAAGGAGAGGTTGGTCCTGTAATGGGTGCCGTTTCCTGGCCTGCTCTATCAGATGCTGCTAAAGCTGCGAAACCTTCTTCTGATCCTCTTCCTAAGCCCCTTAAAGAGGGAGATCCCCCACAAAAGGTATTTTTCTCGACAGACCTGATCTTAGGATTGATATCTTTTTTTTATGAACCTTTCAAATTGGCCCCCTTTTTGTTTTCGTTAGTTTCATCTCTGTTGTTTTTCATTTTTGTTGGCATGTTCTTTTGTTGGGTTTTTCTTTTGGCTAAATTGATCTTACAATTTGTGCTCAATGATATTTGGTTTTTTTTTACTAGCTGGGTTTGTCTGATCATTTTTCTTTTGGCTAAATTGATCTTATAATGGGTGCTCAATGGTATTTGTTTTTTTTTTTTCTAGTTGGGTTTGTCTGATCATTTTTTTGATGTGTTTAGGTTATGTTTCATCGTTATTTTCTCTTCAATGTTTAGGCAAACACACGATTAGAATTGGATCTTCTTCTATTGCATCCTAACCCCACTCATCTTTCAGAAGTTAGAATGTTTTTGTGAATGCTTTTTATTTAGTGATGGTTTTCTTGTTGCTTGCTGATTTTATGTGTAAAAATCGTTCCATAAAGCCCATCTTCATTTAAAATAGGAAACCTTCCTGTTTATTATTGTTAAAATTGCAAACTTTCCTCGATAGGATGTCTTCCATTCTTATCTCTGATGGGCTTTTACTGGCACTTACATTGTGTATTTCTGATGGGCTTTTTCTGGGACTTATTGTGAGACATACACTCCTCACTGATTTTCAACTCAAAAGTTGTTGTATTAAATCCCGTCCCTGTTTAAAGTTGGGAATATTTCTTGTTAACTTTTGGCAATGCACTGCAAGCCAAACTCTTAATGTTTGCTGGTTTTCATTTAAAAATTGTTCGATTAAGCCCCATCTTTGTGTTTCTATATTGTATCTTGGCTGCCTTCTTATAATTTTTCTTTTATTTTTTGCATGGTGAAAATTTAGGGCCATTTACTTGCAACCCCAACTCATAATTCAGGCAGCAGTGTCAGACCAAACAATCCACCAAATCATGTTTCTCAAAACAAGGTGAAGTCCACAGTCAAACGTGGGGGCCCTCCTAATGGGGTTGTTATACCAGCGATAACAACACAGCCTATTGTGGTTTCTGATAAACCAGTGGCTTCTCCCAAACACAATGCAGAGCACCCAATTTCGACAGGGGTTCCCAATGAAGCTGGGTCAAGGGGTTTTGTACCTCCGCCGCAAGGACATAATTATACTCGTCAACATTATATGAGAGGGAATGGTTCTCAAGTAAGAGGTCAAGGTTTCCACGGCAACAATTACATGAACAGGCGTAATTCTCGTGATCATGGACGCTTTAACCACCAATGGAATTCTCAGCGAAATTTTAACGGCCGAGACTTTCAAACCACTCAGAACTTTGGTCCGAGAAACTTCTCGAGGCCACAACCTCCACAGCCTCCTCCCCCACCGTATCTCAATTTGCCTGCACATTTTGGAGGTCATATTAGTTTTGCTGGTGGTGAGTTGTAAATGCCTTTTTTTTCTTCAATTTGCGTGCACTTTTTGGAGGTCCTATTGGTTTTGCTGGTGGTAAGTTGTATATGCCACATGATGAATTTTTAGGCTATTCCCTTGACCTCTATTTTTTGTCAACTATTTTCTTGTCTATTTGCCTTTTCAAATTTTGTATTGTTTTGTGCTGTGCATATTCTTTGTGTGAATACTTCTATCATATCGCATTGTTGCAGATATGCATAATCAAGTGTTCTTTGCTGTTCCACCACCTGTGGATCCCATGAGAGGTACATCGTTTGTTTACCCTTCTGTTCCTCCAACGATATACAATCCCGCCCAAGATGCTTATCTGCGGAGTCAGTTGATTGCTCAGATTGATCATTATTTCAGGCATGTAGATCGTATTCCTTGATAAAATTGGATTCAGCGTGTTCACTCTAACTTTTCTGTTCATGCCTTTGTTTCATCATTGCTCATGAGGCTTTTCAACTGCAGCTCTGAAAACTTATGTAAAGACGTGTTTTTGAGAGGAAACATGGATGAAGAAGGCTGGGTTCCCCTTTCTTTGATTATGACCTTCAATCGGGTGTGTAATGTATAATGTTCTTTTGCTTCCAATTAGTATGCTATTATCTTTGTCAAAGTATGTCATATATATAAACATAGCAAAATTACTATTTTGTTGTGTTTTCGTACTAGTTTTCCATTTCTAAAGTTGGTAATTTATTTTTAGCTACCTCTTTGTGATGTTTTCTTTTTTAGTTCCATAACCTGTCATATGCTTATGTTTTTATTGTTAACCAATTTTAAATGTACTGAGTGATTAGTTGATGGAGATCAAGGAGGAGGGGGACAAGTTGTGCCAAACAATTTAAAGGACATTTCTTTGGAAAAAATGCAAAGTAATGAAATATGGGAGAGTAAAAAGCTCTCTCTTGCCCTTAATATGGAAGATATAAAGACTAAGACTTGTATTTTGGGTCTTTGTTTCCTTTCCTGATTATATGGTTCATGTATTCTCTTATCAGGATGTAGCAGCTCTCTTGTTGAGCACTGTTTAGGGAAGAGTACATTATCATGGTCTAGAACGTTAAGTTCCTCCTTCCTTATGTGGAGGAGGTGGATAAATATCGATTCAGCATTAGGGTCTGGTTGGGCCTTATCGCTTCATAGGTGATCTCTAGCCCGCTTTTGAGGCTGTCATAGACATATGCACTGATGTATTGGAGATTGATCTTTCTTCTCTTGTGAGGCCGGGTGTCCAGAAGAGTTGATTTTTCATCTTGACATTGGTGTTCCAACGCTTCCTAGCTTCCATTAATGTGATTATTACTTGTTTCATACTTCAGGGCTGTCTAATCAGAATTGAGAGGTTCAACATCCAATGGTAGGTGAGCTATCGGATGCCACAGTTGCTGGCCCTCACATAAGTGATTAGGTCCTTCCTCAGAGTTAGGGGATGAAACTGGGTTGGGTCCATGGTTTGAGGTTTGGAGGAGGTAAAAGTACTCTTAAGGAGGCAATTGACAAGATGACCCTGAGGGTATCCCAGATGCAGAGGTGGCAAAATTGTTGGATCCATCCTTATGGATGTGCCCTATCCCATTCAATAGCGGCTATTATGGATTATTTAGTTGATGTTAGGCCAAGGCCAAGTGTGCTTTCATTACTGTAAGTCTTTTGTGTCTTGTGCCTGTTGTTTTTTTGATCCACAATGGTTGTTGGCTTCTATGTAAGGGGCCTGCCCAATGAGATCACTGACTTTTGAGTGGGAGAGGAACTATCTGGGTGTGTAGTAAAGTGTTTTACCTAGGCCTGTATCAGACTAGCCTCTGTTCTTGACTGCTTACCTTAATATGGTGACTCTTCTTCTAATTTTGTTTAAAGTGTGTGGCTGGAGTATCAATGTATCCTATTGACAGATTGCTGAATGAATCTCAAGATGACGGTTGGGCAAGATTTGGAATGGCCATGTAATTCTAAGGGATTGTGCACTAATTATGAAATGGAACTGTCCTATATTTATGAACCAGTGGAGAGGAAGGATAGGCTGATAGGTTCCTCAAAGAAATCTACCTAAATGTGAAGAAAGAAGACATTCTCCTTGTTGTTTGTCTCAAGGAGGAGCATGAGGACATTCTCCGTTTCTCTGTTTTATATACTTAAGAGATCAGTATCAGAAGTTACAAGTTAGATGGCTTAAAGATGTGAAACATTCTTCTCAAGTTTCCAGTGCAAGGAGGCAGGGTGTTTCTCTATGGTGTGCTAGGCTAATCAGTCATTATTTTCGTTAGAATCAGATGTTAGCAAAACTATTCTGGGCTTCTTCCGAGTGCTTTACATGACTTGAAGTAGTTGAAGATCCTTATTATAAGTGCCTGTCTTCAACAAGGTGGTCTGGTTCAGTTGTGCAGCTGAGAACATGTCCATTATTTGAAGGGAGATATATTTTTAATAAATTTTATGATAATTGGTGGTTTAACCATTCTGTTTTTCTTAATTTTGAGATCATTGGCGTAAAGGCTTTTAAGGATTTCAAATGTACTAGCTTAGTTGGGCAGCTCCTACGATCCTCAAATTCCTTGTGGACTTCAAATTAGATATCTTTTTTACTATTTCCTTACAAATGGTGCCTTCATCCGAGAGGCTAATTTTGGATGTGGCTTTGATGCCATGAAACATGGATTCAAGGCATAAGGATGGCTAGCCATGGTGGTTAAGGTAGGCATGAAAAAAGCTTAAGATTGTAGCAGTTCAGGTTTTTTGAACTACCATAGAGAGGATGGGCTTTGGCGATCAATGTCATAACAAAATGTGTTTCGGATTTCATGCACGTAAACTATGAGATTTATTTTGCAAAGGACAAAGTTACCTCCGGCCATATGTCTTCAATTCCAGGGAGGTCCAGGGTAAAAATATTATTTTCAAAAGAACCAAAGGTATCGCAATGATACTCTTCGCACTCCTTTACTAGCAACTTGAGTTGACCGATGAAATAAAGGTGGTGAGGTTAAGATTATATGCCTAGGAGAGTTTCTAATGAGAGCATGTGGAGATAGGGTAGTGTGGATCATTTTTTGGTCAAGTGCTTTCTGAAAAAACCATACATTTAAGTAAGATGTTAGAAGGCCCTTGGGCAACTCGCTTGGAATATGCAGGCCTTGTTCCATACCCTTTTGTTCACAGCCTTTTATTTGAATGGTTGCCCATCCTACAAACAAACTCTAAAGATGCCAATGGCTGGTCTCAAATCTCATCTTCATGTGCTGGGAGGTGAAGCAAACTTTGGATTTGAGTTACCGAAAATGCTCTAATAGATGATGCTTCATGTGGAGTTGTCTAGGGATCAACATAGGAATAATACTATTTGACAGGGAACACCAATCAAATCCAAGGTCCAAATAACTAAGTTGTAGGCCAGCTCTTTCCATACTCTGTACCTATGCTTGGAATATTTGGGATTTCTTCGGGAATCTGTTTGATGGTTTTTAAGTCATTCTTGAATTGGAGGGTACATCTGGTCGATGGTCATGTACATAATTAAATCTAAGGACATTGTATTTTCTAGGAGATGTACTCTTTGGTGATCTTATAGGGTGTAAGGAAAGAAGGAAATTACAAGATCTCCAAGTGCCTATAGATATTGGCGAGTGAAGTATTGTGCCAAGGTTACCAAGATTTTGTGGGCCGACTCAAATGAGTTCTTTAGCTTCAAACTCATGAACAGAAGACAATAATAGAAAGGCCATCCCTGGACTGGAATATTTCAACAGTAAATAACTATTTATTACTTAGAAAGTTTACTTATGAATGCCACCTACCACTTTTCTCTGCATCTGAATATTTAGAGGTTTGTTCAATTTTTATCCAATTCTTACTAAATCCCTCAAAAACTGGTATATTCTACATGTCTCAATGTGTTGTCGCATGAATGTTAAAGGTGATTGGATCAAAAAGCTATTTACTTTGGGATTCTTGGCATGTCCTAAACAGTTAATGAATTTCTGGTGATTATCAGTTAGGGTCTTATGAGCAGTCAACTTTAGCACCAACACCATGATTTCCAATTCTCATATGTTTGTCTCATTAAGATGGAAACATTCCATGGGCCTTGATTTATTGCATTATTCATTTTCGAAGATGACAAGAGTTTTTTTTTGTTTTCCCATATGGGGGGGCGTTCCTAGGTTCTGTCAGATTTAATTTGCCCTTTCTAGGCTGTTGGTCATCATTATTTGTATTCTAGAGACTGTATTGTACTCTGCATGATGTGCAGTTAAATGACATAATGGAATTTATTGAGTGCACAATAACAGTGGGGTGATCTGAGGAGGATTTCGGATGCTTGATCTTGGACTGTCATTAGGAATTCTGTGGGATTGACATGATTTGGTTTGTGGCAGCTTTTCATTTGGTGAAGGCGACTTCTAGTTTTTTCACCATTGAATTTTCCTCTTTGTATTTGTTAGATGACCCCTCATCATCTTTGTTTCTCCTTTCTTAGCCTGTACTTCACTTTCAAACAAAGATGTCACTGTTATATGAGAAGGGAGACTGAAGGAGCAGGCAATCTACACACTCCATGGAGTTTGATTTTACGGTAGATTATTGGGAACCCAGTACCATGGGGATTATTTTGAGGAATTCCTTGGGAAGTTAGGAAGGTTTCTTTGGGGCCATTAGGAATTTGTGGTTTGACTGAAGCTGTATGGAAACACTTTTTGCTTTGTCTGAAAGTGTTCTCACAGCCCTTGGGACCATGAATGACGTCCAAAATCAAATCTAAATAACAAAGTTGATGTATTTGTGGCCAATCACAAACATTATGAAAGATGTCATAATTGTTTTTCATATAGTGGGGATCTTGACGTCCTTCAAGAGCAATATGGAGTTGAGTCCCTTGCCTGAGAGTGTGTATGTAAAGGAATTTTGTTGCTTGAGAATAATTTCCCTACTTTTCGTACGCTTACTTCATACCTTGGTTGTGATACTATGTTTGTATCTCTATGTGTTTGCGCTATTGTTTCTTCTGGTATTTAATGGATTATTAATCAGGGAAAAAAACTTTAGTCCCTTTCTATTGTTTAGAGAGCATGAAGTTATGTAGAAGTTACAGTTAACATTGTTATGGTACAAGGGGGTCACAATTACTTAAATCTGATGTGAAATCTAGTAGCTTGGGTGTGTCACAAAGTTCGAGAAAATTCCTTTTGAATTTTGAGCCTGGTCAATGGAATAAATGCGGCCACCAATTTCACATCCAATTGTTAAGATTAGTTGTGACCACCCTATACCAAAGGTAAATGGTCTCATTGTATACTTTTCCATATATTAAATATGCTGTTAAAAGTTGAAAGAGATATAATATGAGTTGTATTACTACTTTCGCCTTAAGTGCTTGTTGTGTAAGAAATGTAGACACAACGAGCATCATTTTAGTTATATTTTGTATGATTAATTTGTGTGTGTGTTTAAGATACATATTTTTTCTCCTTTAAAAAAAAATATGTGTATTTGGAGCCTTTCTTCCAAGGCTGGTCCTCCATTTAGTTTCAATGCAAACATTGAACAATCATCACAAAAGAC